ATGGAAACATGCTATGTTTCAGTGCATAAGTATGACACACAGCAAGCCAAGAGACCTGCCACTACTTAACACTAGAGGAAGGGCTTGTACTCAATAGGAGTGCACAGTGACAAACACGACAGGTCAAATCATGGTTCCACTGAAAACAATGGCAAAGCATCTACGATTTCAACTGGCCAAGATTTCACTGAATGCCTGGTAGCATCTGTTCATGGGACTGAAATGCAAGCAAATCCATTTTTTTCCCCTCACTTTCTGACTCTTCATGAGGAACCAGCTGCTATCAAAGTTACAGACAAATTAATAGTGAGATAGTACTCCTGTCACCAAGGAGTGGTGAAAAGCCATTCTTTAAAGTGATTTTGCAAAAGGCCCTAGTTCTTGTGTTCTTCAGTGTGCATAAAGGAAGTCTGAAACATTTTTTTCACATTCTCTCTCAGCACATGGTTTGTCAGTTGTTTGTTCTGGGTGGGGTTTTTTTTTGTATGAGACATACATTGTTTATAATTACTTTTTGTCCGAGGGCTGTGAGCAGGGCTGGACACCCAAAGGCACAACCACATAGACTAAAAATCAATACTGAGGAGAGCAAAAGACCCTTAGGCAGGCTAATTATAATTAATTTGTTTTTGAAAAAAAAAAAATTTCCTCCTATTTTGGACAAAAAAATTCCCTTGTTAAAACATCACTATCCTAATTCTTCAGTCAAGGTTGTGAAAATTTTCATCCCAGTTCTCTTTGACAGATTATGCTCAAATATCTAGGCACCATGAACAAGGAGTGTTTATTAGCAATGGATGGTATTTACAGGCTGCCCAGAGAGGTTGTGGAGTCTCCTTCTCCGGAGACATTCGAAACCCACCTGGACGCGTTCCTGTGTGACCTACTCTAGGTGGTCCTGCTCTGGCAGGGGGGTTGGACTAGGTGATCTTTCGAGGTCCCTTCCAACCCCTACCATTCTGTGATTCTGTAGACTGATACTTTATCATTCTGATTGCGTGAGCAATACCCAACGCTACCAAAATTACTAGTCGTGACGTTGCTCTAGCAGTAATGGTACTCAGCTCTGTATTTATTCTACACAGCCGAGCCCAGCCCCTACAGATTCTCAGAGCTAGGACAGGGACATTTCCCAGTGCCTCTGCTCTGGTGGTGGGAAGGCTGGAGAATTTACCCTTCCCTCCCTCCAGGTGGCAACTCTCCCCCTTCTCTCCAGCAAGGACCTAAGGCAGAGCAGAGCGACCCTGATAAAAGCTCTAAAGGTCTGTGAGACAGAAGGGGAAAAAGACTACAGAGATTGTGTTTCAAGAGTAGAGAATCATGTTGTGCTGCAGCTTTTCTGAGATGCAGGCCCTCTGGCACATCTCCCTATCCCACCAGCATGATCTGGTCAGCTGGAGAACATAAGGTAAGAGGGAGGAAAAGTGGAAGATGGAGCCGCAGTCTCAAAAATCCCTAGCGGTGCTTTGCCCAAGCAGTCAGATGCACCACCACTTAGAGGTGATGCTGCAAAAAGTCTTGAATATCAGGACAGCAAGTCAAACAGTCTGGCTCTTCACTGATACCAGTAGTCAATGTACTAAGTGTCTCCTTAATTTTTCCAGTTGAAGGCCTCTTCTCTTACAAGAGGACTCTAATTTCTAGATCACATGATCCCTTTTCTCTCTGATGCTTTAGCTACAACAGTGATAAGCTAAAACTAGAGACAAACAGGAATGCATTATATCTGAATGGAAACATGCATATGCAACTGGAGTAGTGGCAACTTTTGTTTTTAAAACGCTTTACTTGTCTCTCGTATTTGGAATAAACTCTATTTTAATTTCAGAATATACAGAATTCTCAGAACAAGAAGCTGTGTCTATAGAAAAAAGTGACAAATATGGAAGCAATTGGGAGAACTCATAGGTCAAACCAGAATATGTTCACTCATTTTTGAGGTTAAAGGTCCCTAGAAAGTGCAAACAGATTCCAAAACATGCCAAATGTGCCTAAGTTTCCACTAAAAGATGGAACAGTGTACATACTACAAAATTAGTGCCAGAACGTTTAAGTTCTGGTGTCTCATATCAATAATTGTGCACTCTCTTAACCATAAATTACTATTACAAATATATATTTAATGTCCTGCTGTTAATTTCTGACCCTTTAAACTACACAGTCTGCTACTGTGAAATAGAAGCATTTGTTAAGAGGGGATAAGTATATTTGATAAATTACAGGGATTAACATGATCTTAAATTAGTAAAAGAATTTAGTCTTTTTAATATTTATTTTCTTGCTGCTGCTCAGTTTTTGACAGCGGAAGACATTACAGTTATATAAATATACTTCAAACAGAGGATCTTCTCAGGGTGGGAAAGGCATCTTTTTGTTCTTACTGGTATTTAAGAACTACATTTTCAGTAATTGTCAGACCATGTTACCAGCCTCAAATTCCTTCTTGCTTCTGGGATAGCACCACCTAGTGACTATTACACAGATTTGGAGATCGCTGCTTGGCAAAAACCACCTACGCTGCAAATTCCAGAGCTAGTTGCAAGCAGATGTGAGAACGTGCTGTCACTCATCTTCAAACAAAACACCAGAGATACTAGCAGAAGGCTCACTTCAAGTCAGGGTTACCTGGAAAGATGCAATATGGCTTCCATGTAAATTATTAACTTTCACATCAGTCAGTACAAAAAACTGGAGAAAATTGTATCAAGATTATGAATCTTAATCTGTATTTTTTCTGGTTTGCTATAGGAATGAAGCACATGCTGAGTGGAGGGAAGAGGGCTAAGAGGCAAGGACAGAGTACAATGCGACATTTACACAGTCACTATTCTTTTCTTTACCAAAGCCTCTTTGTAGAAAGTTAAGAGAATAGCATTATCTTTCTTCACTGAGCAGAGATGAAGCAGCATTGCCAGCCATACCTTCTGTTCTCAGCCAAACCTTTCATTTATCTTGCAAGCTGCCAAAACTAAACCTGGCAACAATCTGATTTTAGAACACAGAGGCCCCAAGACCGGATGTAAGTGCCAATTATATTAGACAGCTGGAAAAAATAAAGCAAAATCACAAAGACTTTTAAAAAATAAAAATGACATAAGAGTTTTAAGCTATTCTTATAACACCATGCACAGGAGCATATGCACAATAATTTTTTAAACAGGATGCCCTGTACCAACTTGACAGAAATACAGACAATGCTCAATTTGCTGTGTATTCTTCATGGAAAGGTAAATGTTCTATAACAGGAGGCAGAAAGCATGAAATTAATGTAAATAGGAAACAAGGAAGGAATGTAAGAGACAAAACAAAAAAAGTGGAAATACATCAACACGGTAACTATACATTACTGCAATAATAAGTATCTTCTTACTGAACCTTTCATGTATATTGGGCAAAATACTTAAGTTCAGTGCTGCTGCTACTAAAAAGCGAGAAGAAGAGGAGTTTGCATGAAAGTCTCAGCATTCTGATTTTAAAATAGCAATAAAATCAGAAGTATAATATTCACAATAATTGGGACTGATAACTGGGGCAAAGGACCTGATCCGTTTCATTCTGACTATAGCTCCAAGGTATAAAATAGCTAGTAAAGAGGGGTGTGGAGGCACATTTGATCAGATGTGAATTTTATTTTTTGCTTTGCTTGATCCATCCAGCCTGAGTAAAAGAATCTCTTTTACCAGTTTAACACAGACTCAAATGTCAGAAGTAGACACAAAGATTCTTTGTTCCGCACTTGGGCACAAACCAACCCTACTCCATCTTAAACTATATCCTCCTTCATCTAAGCTTGTCATAGCTGAAAGGAGAAGCAGATTCCTCATTGGATCCTCACCTCTCAAGGACCTCTAAAAGCATTATTTGAAGGGGGGTAATTCAGAGTCTTCTAGCTACAGGAAAAAAACAAGGACAAGGTAACAGGAATCTATCCTATGTAGAATATAAACAGATATTTTGCTATCAGTTTTACATGTGCAAAGAAGGCTCCAATATATGTTTTTCTCCAGATGTTCTTTTTCTACATAGAACTCTCAAGAGATGTTAAAGGCATCACTAGAGGCTATGACTGGGCTACTGAGGGGCCAGAAATCCCAGACAGAGTTGCCAGGTGCAGAATTGCCTCTACAGCCCACATACAAGCCTACACAGCACTACCCAACACATGTACACTTACCTCTACCTAAAAACACACCAACCTCATTTTCATGTCATACCAGATCACAAGAATTCTGCACTCTCATACAATCTATCATATTTAGATTATGCCTTAGTATTACATTTTTTTCTTATCCATTATGAAAAAAATACTTTAAAAATTTAGGAAGTATTGAGAGATGTGCACATCTGTTGGCTTGTTCGCATGTATACTGCAGAACTATTGTTTGTATAGGTCACTGCTATTCTGGCATCTATCCATGGAGTAATCAAACTTCATCTTGCTGTTTTATTTAGCCATACATCTGTGCACTCTCATGTTAGTCACTGTCAACAAGCTTTAAATCAACCTAATTAATTAATTCTAACAGATTAGTATGTGATTTTTATAATTTGTAAGAAACTTTATGTATTGCATCAATGCATCTAAATAGATGGATATTACCTCCTAAAGAACTTGATCTACATTACATCATTTATGAACTGTGAAAAATGGTACACAAGAATACACAAGAATCTATCAACTGAGAACTGATCTTAGTAAAGGACTAAGAACCAAGAAAATCCCATATTCTCATCCTGTTCTGAGAAAGAGTTCTTGCCCTACAAGTCAGATAATCTCCCCTTCTCTGGAGTGAGGGATGAACCTTGCTGCCTGGGTGTTTTAGAAGAATTCATGTCCACATATTTAAAAAAAAAAAACAACATAGATCATTACATTTCAGATATCTAGGAAACAGCAGAGCTGAAAGAGATTTTAAAAAATTTGTCCAGAAAGAACTAGAGTTTTAGAGGAGTAGGTAGCTGAAGAGGTTGCAAAGTTAGCAAAGCTGTGCAGAAAATACCTGTTTTTGTTAACGGGCTAGAGAACAGCTGCTGAAGAAGTTTGTTCTCTGAAGTTCGCAACACCACCACTACGTCAGCAGGCAGAGTGTCTCTGTTCTTCTCAAGGAATGCAGAGGCGTCATATAATACCTAGCAGGGGAAACAGAATCAGAAAAGTTTCCAAAAAGGATTACCCAAAAGCTACTATGTTCTTTAAAATGTGAACAGTCAACATGACCAAGTAGAACAGTTAGTTTGGGTCTGACAAGCTAATGAACTATTTGCAAAGAACTTAAAAGCGTACAGCTACAGCACTGTCTTCAGAATGTGAACTGCTTATAAACAGCACCTATATTCCTATCATGTCACCGCACATCACATTGGGTTAAATGCCTTAAAACATGCTGTATTACGCTTTGTCACATCAAACTATGGTATGCATGATGCAACAGAGATACCTCACTAAAGCTTTTACATGTGAAATAAGAAATGTTCTCAAGTGGTCATCATCTATTTGTTGTCCACACCAACTAGACCTGTTGGGGGAACATGAGTAAGTTGCACATCTAGGTACATTAGAATAGGCTTCTCACTGCTTCAAAAATGACAGTAGGAAACCAAAACATTAATTGAATTTCAATTACTTTAATTGTTTTTATTAGAAATTAGCACCTGGCTATTTGTATTCATGTAAGAATCAGTTAATTTTGCTTAACTCTTCTTTTCTTTTTTTGTAAACTGCAGTAATGTTTTAGACCTCTTGCTATCACTAGCAATATTCCTCTCTAGCCTAATTCCACTGGAGTTCATTAGTTTCCACAGAAACTGAATGTTCTCCTGCAATAGAGAACTGGCCAGTAGTGTTTTTATGATTTGGCCATTTGGGTACAAAGAATTTACTAAGCGTGTGTAAAATTTTACAGTTACTCTTAACAAGCCAGAAAGCTAGACAAAGTTACTAGAACATATCTTAAAATTTTGGAGTCCTGTAATGAGCCAGAGATGAGACTTCATTGGTAATGATATAAAACATGACTATTTCATTTTGATTTTGTTTATAAACAAAGATTTGGACCCAAAATCACAAGCAAAGCTCATGTTATGTGAAACAACTGGACAGCTACTCCCCATATAAAATAATACATGAGCTCCTGAGAACAAAAGAAGTTAGGTGCTACAGAGTATGAGAAAACATCTGTGCTAGCTAGCTCCAGTTTTTCCAATGCTCTGTATAGAATTTTAAGTTCTATTGCAGATGCTGTTTCACATTGCATTTTATCCGTATACTTATATACAGTCACACACAGAACTACTGTGGCATTCACACAATGTTAACAATCACGTAGCCTGTTCTGGCTCCGGAGAGTTGCTCCTTTGAAATAACTGTAGTAACGGTTTTCTGGTGCCAGATTTCTTTCAGAATAAAAGGTGGTTACTGTCTACACAATTTGTGAAAGAGTCCTAAGGACAGGTTCTAAAATGGACTACTACACATGAAAAATTTATCATAAATTCTAGGTTTCTGTAAACTTCATCATTTTGTCTCTTAAAATGAGAAAAAAAATCATAAAGCAGAAACTTCGGATAAAACAAATAATGACCATGCCATTGTTATTTGAACTAAATAAAAATCACATGACCTTACCTTTCCAGCATAGTGCTGAATACCAAAACACAATTCTACTCCTTTTGGTCTCCAAAAGTATTTGCATCGTAAGTTATCTTCAAATTTATCTAGACATTGAGAGGAGACATCGATATAAGTGACTTAGAGTGACTAAGTTAAATCTTCATCCTAATTAGGGACAATCTGCTGCTCAAGAAGGCAGAACTACTATAAACACATATATATTCAGATTGCTCAGAAATAGCTGTGTGCCAGCTCTTCTATGCTTTCCTCCAAGCTGCCGCTTCTGAATGGAACAGCTCATTCTAAACTAGCCCAGTAAGACTGTCTTTCAAATCCCACTGTTTGTGGATAGTTTTGTGCATGGAAAAATATCAAGTAAGTGGGGTCAATGAAGAGGTGTGATGACTTCTCATATTTTGCTATGAATTTGCTTATATGTATATATAGGGTTTGGGGTGGGTCTATTTCAACTCCCTAAATTCAAAATTGTGCATGTATCTTGCTTGCTTAAACACCTATTATTTGTATTTTCCCTATCTTCCTTTCCCCATTCATTTAGCTTTGTGCATCATGTTTCAAGTATACGTTAATGTCTTCAAGCTGGGACCATCTCTCATTTACCTTTCTACAGAAAGAGAGGCTTCTACCTAAAACCTTTTAGAGAGGCTTTCTGTTTCCCGTGACTATCTCTAAAGAGCTGACAGAAAAAGAAACACAGCTTTCTAAGAAAAAAAGTCTTTTATGCCCTGTGATATTTTGTATGTTCTTTAATATTTTGTAATGAAATTCGTGCTGATACTTTAAAACTTGCTATTATATTTCTTTATCTGAACAAGCCATTAGAGACCTGAGGCCAGAACCAATTGATAAAATTCTCTGTCATGTTGAGTACATCAGAAAATATTATCAAAATGTTTTTTCTAATGTTAGAATCCATTAATATTTTGTGTTAGGTTTTTCTTTCTATGAACATTTCATCAAGCTTGTATTTAAAGCAAAAAGAACTAAGCTTGGAATTTTGAGGGAGCGGGGGGGAAGGCGCTGGAATTAATGATTGTCTGGGGACATCTGGAAAGCGCAAAATATCCCACTTCGCTCTCTCCTTGAGGGATCCTGTTGCACTGTGTACAGATCAGCAGTAAGACTGGTCGGCACTGGACCAAGGAAAGTGCCTCTGTGAAAGTGTAAGTTCGATATTCAGTATTAACTGATTTATAGGACCCACAGGGAGGCACACAGCTTTTGTACACAAATGAGGACTGCAATGAAACCATAGCATTCATTCTGTCTATGACCTAAATTCAAGCTTCAACTCAGCCTACCAGAAGTGAAAAATCTTGTACATATATTGTGCAATTTAACAGGCAGCTGTTATTTTTCTCTGACTAACAGTTGGAGTCTCTGCTGTGCATTCCATTGAAGGAACCAGAACTCTTTGTTTCATATCCCAGCGAAAAATGTAGCTCTAGTAAATAAAAGCAAGACAACAGTTTTAAACGTGGCATGCGCCGCATGTTTTAAAGCTGGCACCAAGATTTGTTAAAATATACACAAAATATGCATGAAGGAAGGGAAATATTCAGCCAGATGGCACACCAGAAATAACACACACTTTCTATTTATGAGATAATCTGGAGCGAAGCAGTATTTTCTAATTGGATAAACACGGGCCTATGAGCCTGGGAGATCTAAATTATACTCTCAGCACTAATGCTGCTCACAGGGTGGTCCTAGACACAAGATTCTACTATGTCTCAACCTTCCCTTCAGTAAATGGGGATAAATGCTGCTTGATGTACCTCACATACATGGACAAGACACAGGTTATTTCCTTGTAACAGTGAAAAGACAATAAGCCCTTGACACTTCATATAGAAGATAACTTTCGCAGTAGAAAAAGAACAGAAATCATGTAAGAGAAAAACGATGAAGCACAATGAAAAATATACTTAACGTGTCAAATGAAATGGCACAGCCTCAGGAGGACAACTAGTCTAGTAAAACTTGAGTAAAGGTGTCATTCTGCCCTCTCAAAATATATTTGTTATTTCCCAAAATTTTTGTTTGCACGTACCAACTAAAGTTAGGTCTGTTGCCTGAGGAAATCGACTTTCTTCATCTAGAAGAGACAGTAGACCCATGGGTTTCTGGAGGAACATATCTAGAAGTGGACGGTTGTCCTCATACTCCACTGTAGTAGCATCAATTCCCTCACTCTGATATTCCACCTACAAAATCACCAGCACAGTTTTAACATTGAACCAGTAAAAGCAACATCATCATTAGGACATTTACGATGCACAGCAATACTCTATGGGCCCCAACAATATTATTTACAAAACTTCAAATGAAAGGTGACATATCTTGCATTTAAATTACATATCCATTTTATAGTTTATAATGTACTCCTGAATATGATCTATGGTTCAGGATGGCTGATTCAACTAGACTTCATCAGAGTTGAATTTACCTGCTCAAGTGCAAAGATATGTTGATTGAAATAAAACTGGATCTGTTCATTAGCAATATTTATGCACAGCTGTTCAAAGGAATTTCTTGCAAAGTTCTCAAATCCAAATATGTCTAGTATCCCAACATTCATCCCATTTTCAGCATTGCTGCATGTGAAAATACAAATAAAATTCATTATGGGAAATATCAAGTTAAAATAAAAATAAACATGGTAACTAAAATTGCATAAATAATTCAATCTGCTGCAAAAAGAGAGGAGGAAAAATATGCTTGAATCTAAGCCAGCTTGTGCATCTGTTCAGCATAGTTAACACTTCTGGTTTCCACTTGCTTCTTGCAAATTGCCATGAAGGCAGGAGAATCATAGGTACATAGTAACAGACATTTAGCAGCTATATTAAAACAAATGGCTTCAGTAGGAAGACCCCAAATAAAAATCTATTGTCTGCTCCTCCGGGTAGACAAAAGGTGTCAAGCTTTAATGTAGGTTTTTGCTATACTCAGTCAGAAGGGTAATTACCAAGTCTGCTGCTGCTACGAGCTGGACTATAAAAAGCCCATGTGCTAGCTCAAGTATACTCATACCAAAGGTACCACTACAACTGCAAGTACAGATGTGGACATGTCTATATGATACAGTGAAGTGCCAAGTAGAGATCTCAGATCACAGGCATTCCCACATAACCTAAGGGGTTCTCTTGTTTCTAAAAATCTCCACAGCTGCTTGAAAAGACCAGAGCAGCCAGATCAGTACCTGGCAATGAAATTATAAGGATGCACAATGCGAATGTTTCTGTAATTATGAAAAATAAAAAATCATCAGTTACATTTCAAGTAGCAGCACCATAATAATCCGAGAACTTTATTGCTAGCTTACAAAAGTAGAAGGACAGTAAGGACTGTGAATACATACTAAAGTTTTTCAGTGTATTGCAATTATTTACTAGCCTTTGGTATGATTTTAATGTTCACTACATAGGAAGCATCTTTTTAAAGAATTGTACAGCACTTTAACCATTCAATTTCCATTGACTTAAGTAGCTAAATTCCACTCAGCTCTTTGAAAACATTGAGGTTAACGTCCTGGAAACAGAATTCAGTATCACAGCATGAAAGCCATTTTGAAGCCTTAGCCAAAATAAACACAGCACCCTTTCTGCAAAATCAAAAATATACAAATGGATGAACCCATCAAAGACATATGCACAGTAAATACACATGATTCAGTGATGTGTAACTTGCCATATATTTTTATCTGGCTGAAGCAGCGTATTAATACGATTTACGATCCAGCTGAAGAGCCGGCCATAAAGTGCTTTAGACATGGCATCTCGCACGTCAACAGCTTTGTCCACAGTGTTTGTTCGGATAATAGTCTCCCCTCGTGTTACAACACAGTGGGAGGTCAGGGCCTCTTGAAGTTCTTCTGACCCAATACTTAGTAGTGCAGCAGCTAAAAGACAGTGGAAAAAAGATACACAACTGTGATTATGCAGTGGAAATCACCAGCATTGCCTAACTGTTACCTCAAGTTAGAAATTCTCACAAATACAGTCAAATTGCATTTACAGAACTGACAACGTTAAAATGTATTTACCATTATCTAAGGCTTCTGGGTTGGGAACCTCACTTTTATCTGTTTGGTGTTGTGAAGAAATGGCAGCAAACTCAATATTTCCAGTATTTAAGATTCCAGTCAGAATTCTGTACACAGAGTACACTTCCTGTATAAGATGACAAGAAGTACTTTTAAAGAATCCCACTAGATATATAGATCGTATTTAGGTTATGAAAGAAAAAGGTGGGCAGTGGAATAGCTACTAAAGCTTGTAGTTTTCTCTGAGACCAAGTTCTACAAATTCAAGTAAGCTCCTTTTCACCCAGAAAACAGTGTGATACAGAATTGTAAATGGACTTGCCTGAGTACAGAGAACTCAGACTGGTCTTGGTTTCTGAGCGTGCGGTTATGCTTTCACAGTTCACTTCTGCCATAAGAGAGATTCTACAGCACAGGGATGTATCCACAAAACCAAATAGCAGCCTGTGCATAGGCAGTACTGGAGGTGGTTTTTATAAAGAAGGTAAATAATGGTTTAGCAACTGGATCTCTTACCTCATCAGTGAATCCTATAATTCTAAAGCAATGCTGAATCGCTTCAAATTGTCTTCCATAAGAATCTTTAGTAACTATATCATGCATTACTCTTCCAGTTTCGTTATCAATATATCTAAATAGAGTGGGAGAAAGAAAGCACCATACTAGCAGATGTGCCAGTACAACCTCCAGTAACTTCAATGCAAGTACTTCAGTAACTGGAAAGATTTATTTCACTATCTTCCAATTATATACTTTCGTGCTAATTCATAAGAAGTTCTTGTTTCTGTTGCACTAACTTTTGCTTATTCTTTGTTAATATATATTGCAGTGTTACCAACATTTCACACGCATCCCCTCACGCAATAAAGATCAGATGCACCCAAAGTACAAATACCTGCTGAAAAATACAACTCCAAAGCATATTCTGGGTTCTTACTGAAGCACGACAGTAAGAAATCATAAGGTGATTGTCCTGATTTGAAAGTATGACAGAATATCTACATAATAATAAACTAGATTCTTTCTCCTCTTTAAATAGTCCAAGTTCTCAAACAAATACAAATAATGTAATGCCTTATTGTCCATCCTCTTCTTTGCTTGGGAGGATTAAAAAAATCCTTAAGGGATGGAGAAGGATTAAGAGAGATTTTAAGGCATCATACTGAAAGCAAGAGCTGATCAATAGCTAATTACAACGAGCAATTAAAACAAGTGAGTGACAGTTACCTAGGAGGCTTTTTATCGGGAAGTCTGTATTCTGAAAGTTTCTTCTGATGGTAAAGGCCAGCATAAATATAATAAAATATATGGAAATTTTTCTCTCCCCTGGAAAATAGAAGTATCATTTTAAAGAACACATATTTATTCTTGTGGGATCCTATGCAATGTAAAAGTACAAGTTTCTATCATGAGCTCACTGAAGTAGGTAGCAAATCTCCTGCTTGTTTTAATGGTGTAGGATCAGCAACTGTGAAACACAGTAAACTCAGCCAATCACAAAATTTCACCAAAGAATGGAGAAGCTCTGGCTTTCACTCCAAATGAACCTGACTATTCTTGTCATCATAGCACTGTACAAAGGATCACTGCTTTAGCAGAAGACACGTTAATATTTAAAATAAAGAATTTCGGAGAATTGAACAGAATCCAAACATTACAGAAATGTGTAAGGACAGACAATTAATATACCTACACAGCCTGTTTTATGACCCTTGATTTTTCAAGTAGATATTCAGAAATCTTTGCCCCCATTACAGCTCCTGTCGGCGTAAACATCATTTCCAGATATTTTCCAAAGCGACTTGAGTTGTCATTAATGGCAGTGCAGGCATTCCCAAATGCTTCAACCAGAGGATTCACCTGAAGAATTTTCTCACGCAAAGCACGGTTATTGGCCTTGACAGAACAGATATAGATCATAACAATCATTAAAAGAACATATTGCTTATCCACAATCCAATTCTTGCTTCAGAAGCATAGCATCCCTTTCTCATGCTTGTATGGACTTAGAAACCACACTAACCTTTCTACTTAAACAACAACAGGGCCAACAAATTGATGAGGAAGTCTCCCATAGATAGGAAAACCCAGATACTTCTTTCTCTGCAATTGTTCTGCCTCTGAGGTGTCATATAATTAGAGTACCAAAACCATCAAAAACTAAACACATCTACTTAAGGTTAACCTTACACACTTAATTTTCCCATTATTTTGCATTAATAGCATTACTCATAACATTTAAATGTGTAAGAGCTTGTAAGATTAGAGCCATAGCAACATCCGACATTATCGTATGTCCTAGGTTACAGTGTAAAATGTGCC